GAGCATATGAGGGGACTGAGGCCCAAACACCATTCTGCTCCATCTGAAATGGGCCTCTGGCTCCCAGGGAGGATATGCACCAAGGCCAGCACCCCAGCCCAGTGGCCTGATCCAGCCCCTACCCTGCAGTGGCTCAGGCCAGGCCAACAGGGACCCTCCCACAGATGCCAGGTCCACTGTGTATATAAGAGGAGCCAGACACCTGGATTCCTTTTTTTTTTTTTTTTTAATTTTTAACATTTATTTATTAGTCTTCGGTGGTCACAACATCTTTGTTGGTATGTGGTGCTGAGGATCTAACCCGGGCCACATGCATGCCAGGCAAGCGCGCTACCGCTTGAGCCACATCCCCAGCCCCGGGACACCTGGATTCTTGTGTGGAATCTCTGCGTTTCATCTTCTTAAATATTGGCGCATATATACACCTTAAATATAAGGTGTCCCCCAAAGCTCCTATCAATGCAGGGATATTCTGGGTGGTAACTGTAGGCAAGTGGGGCGTGGCTGGAGGAGGCGGGTCTCTGGATTGTGCCCTGGAAGGATCCATCTTCCCTGCAGAACCCTCCCCTCCCTGCTTCCTGGCTGCCATGAGCCGAGCAGCTTCCCCATGCTGGGCCCTCCGCCATGAAGTGCTGCCTCACCATGGGCCCACAGCAATGGAGTCGGCCGTCTATGGACAGAGACCTCTGAAATAACTTGTGCCAAATAACTTGTCATATACTTTGGTCATGGTGAAACCAAGCTGACTAAAACAGTAACTGACCCAATTCCCTATTTTCCTTTTAATACTAAGTGAGGTGGCACCTTTAGCTGCCCTGGCAGGAGCTGTCCTGCCTCTCTGTCGGTCAGAGCTGGTTCAACAGGGAGCTGGGGATAAGGGTGCCTCAGGGTGCAGATCTCCTTAGCTGCAAGACCTAGAGCTCGCTTCTCTTTGTGCCTCTCAGCCTCAGTTTCCTCATCTGTTTGATGGGTCAGTGAGCTCTGCCTCATGGGAGGGTCCTGGTGTCTGGGGCAGTGCTGATGCACACGGGGCACAGTCAAGGTCACAAGCACACACTGCCTGTCCTGGTCCATCCCAGGCCCAGACCTGCCAGAGAAGGAGGGACTGCAGGATCAGGGGGCATGGAAACTCGAGGGTCTTCCAGGAGAAGAATCAGGCCACACTTTCTCTGGCCAGCCTGGTGCCAAGAGGCCACAGGTTACTCTGGAGAGTCCCTCTGGGCCACTGCCACCACTAAGTAGCCCTGGAAAGTGTCTTAGCCCTGGTTGTACCCACACCCTTAGCACAAAATCTAGAATCCTCATCATGACCAAGAAGGCCTACCCTTCTCCAGTGTCATCCTTTCTTGCTCCATATACTCCAACCCCTGGGTGCCCGATTATTCCTGAACTTACTGAGCTCGTGTCCACCCCAGGACCTTTGCATTTGCCATTTCCCCGCCTAGGACTTTATCTACATCTCTCAGAGAAGGCTTTGCCGACCAACCCTCAGCAGAAGCCACCCTCTGCCCAGAACCTGAACTCAACAGGAGAAACTGCCCAGCTTTTGCCCACCTACAGGGACACACTGAAACCAGAGGAAGTCTGAGACTTCTCTGCCTGTTTTCTGACTTTGGGAAATAGCCACAACTCTCCTCCAAGCCCCTGAGCAGGGCTGTAGCCCTCCGATGCATGTACCCACTAAAATGGAGCTCGCTTCCATCACACCCCTCACAGTGACCCTGAGGGGCTGTTGTTGCCACCTCTACTTCAGACTGAGACTCCGAGTGGAGTCAGGGTCAGCTAGCCAGAGGCAGAGCTGGGACCCTCTGGGGGAGGCTTCCCCAGGAGCCTCTGCCAGGTGAACTCCGAGACACAGGTGGGCAGCACCCTCTCACAGTCCTGGTGCTCCAGGCCCTTCCTGCTCCGAGCAGCAGGGGCCTCCACCAGGGTGGCATCTGTTCCCTCCCCCACAGGACACCGTGTAAATGAGTTCAGGTGCAAATACAAAGTTAAGCACTCAGCCCCCCGCCCACCAGCTGGATGCCAACCCCCACCTCCTACATAGTGCTGCTTCCATGGCCAACACTACGGTCAGAGGTCAAGGCTGACCAACTGGCAGGCGCAGGCAAGGCTTGTGGACTTGGCATCCTTGGCCCAGAGACCAAAGCTCTGAATCCCTGGGGAACACTCAGGAATGTCCGACTGCTCCATACACAGCCGGAAGCTGTGGGAAGCTGCTAACTGGGCAGCTGTGCTAGAGAAGAGCCAGGGAGGCCTCGCCAGGGCTTCTCGCCTCACAGGTGACACCCACCAACCTATCTGGGACAGAGGCCCAGGTGGCTTGGGCAAGACGACAACGACCAGTCGACCTCCCATGCCCTGGCTGCTCTAGTGAGGCAGAACCCTGGGGAATGTGACAAGGCCCACTTTCAGCTACTTTGATGGCCCAAAGTAGCTCTGGAAATGAAGCGGTGCTCTCAGCCCCAGGTCATCACTACAACAAACCACAGCACAACATACAGGACATAGCCCTGAGCACCGCCCAGTCCAGGGGCTCAGGCTCACTCCCAGCCCTGTGTGGGGACCAGCCTGAGGCCCGGGGCTGGGGAGGAAGTGGATTCATGCAGGCCTGTCCCTCCAACTCAGGCAGCTGGCGTCCAGATGGCTTATGTTAAACCGAAGCTGCTTTCTAGAGGGAAGTGGATGGGAAACGGGACCCCACCACAGACAGACAGGTACAACCAGGTCTGGGGCCCAGTCCTTGCCTTCTGTGGCCTCAAGCTTCATTATGAACAAGAAAACAGTTTTTACCTGCCCTGCCTTTTCCTGAAGCTTCCAGTGGTGTCTGGAAGACAATTTTCCACCCACAGAGCTGCCCTGCTCCCCTCTACCACACTGGCTCTTTCCTTGTTCTTCCTTCCAAACACACTCAACACTTTCCTGCCCCAGGGACTTTGCCCAGGTTTTTACTTCTGCCTGGATCTGAGCTCAGTCTACAGTCACATCTCAAGACACCAAACAAGTAGAGCACAAAGGCACATGCCTGTGATCTCAGCGACTCAGGAGGCTGAAGCAGGAGGATCACAAGTCCAAGGCCAGCCTCAGCAAGTTAGTGAGATCCTCTAAAAAAAAAAAAAAAAAAAGACTCTTGATAAAACTTTGGCAATTAAGACAATGTGGTGTTGGCATAGGACAGACACATAAGCAATGGGACAAAATACAGCCTGGAAGCATATCTCCAGAGATGGACACTGCATTAGGACAGGGGGCACTGCAGTCCAACAGGAGAGGAAACCACAGGAGCACATTTTGCGGGAAGGAGCAGCCAGGTTTTCATAGGTGAGAGAGGACAAGGGTGGCCCCACCACACACAAAACCCAGTCCAGACAGCTCCCAGTCCAATAAGGGAGGCCCAAAAACAAGGTCTCCAGAAGAAAAGGCAAGAAAATGTCTTCAGGACCCCAGAGGGCAAAGATTTCTTAAGCAGGACACAAAAAGCACTAACCATAAAGGAAACAGTTGATAAACCAGAGTTCACTAAAATTAAGAACTTCCGCTGGTGAAATGGCAGCCTGCGATGCTTAGGATGCAATTTCCAGCACACACACAATATAGAAATAAAAATGCGAAACCCTTACAAATCAGTAAGTAAAGGAAAGACAGACAATGAAAACCAGAGTCCCTTCATAAAAGACTAAATTCAATGGCCCACAAACATGGATGGTCTTCAGGGAATGCAAATTAAATCCACGTTAAGACTTGGTTCCCCTGGAGAATGGCAACTGAGGGCTCCAACTCAAGTGCTGACCAGGCCCACAATCAGGGATACTCCTCTAAGACTGCCAGAACGCTGCATCGCAGCTGTGACAAGAAACTGCCAGACTTTTCCCCAAAGTTAAGCAAGCATTGAGTACACGGACCCCCAGGAGAAATCACAGCAGAAGTCCCTCCAAGGAACTGCAGGCAGTGCTCAGCTCCCTGCAGTGGCACTGCGGCTGTGGGGTGCAAGTGCTAGTATGGAGAAGGCACAGGGGGCCTGTGCTGGGCTCCTTGGGTTGCACACTCAGACACACTCAGGGAGCCTCAGCACAAGTGGGCTACACCACAATTATTTAAACAGGTCACCGCACATGTGAGGGCCCTCCAAACTGGGCCCCTCTGTACTCCACCCCCCCAGCAGAAACTTCACTGCTTTTCCCTTAGAACACAATTTACTGTTTGTAATTCTGGGCTTTTTCTTCCTATAGCTTCCCCTAGCACCCAGCACCACTTGTTCCCAAGATTCACAATGCATCTGGCAAAGAACGGCTGTCAGTCCACCAGTCAACCCAGGCCCTCAGGACTGCACTCACCCTACACGTGGGAGTTCAGTTGGGTCCAAGGAAAAGGACAAGTTTTTAATACTGGGAAGAAAAATAAGACATGGACAAGCACAGGGGGTGCTAAGGAATCAGCGCTGAAACCTCTTGAAATAATACACCTATTTGTCACTATCAGCTCAGAATTTTCAAGGATTTTGGGCCGAATTGCCACCACCCCACACGTGAACCACGAACCCTCACACCCAACGGAATCCTCGACCTGAACACCAAAAATGTCAAACGGCCAGGCGGCGCCTAAGGAGGGACAATAGCTAAACCTCATGTGGCATCTGGCACCATCCTGCACAAAGAGGCAAATGCCGCCAGGGCTGGCCCCTGACTTAGGATAAACATATATGTCAACACAGGTGCCAGCATGGCACTTCCCCTGCGTCCTTCCCGCTAACCCAAAACGACAGAAGCCTGAAATGCCAGCCCATCAGGGGCAGGAGAACCGCAAGTTCCAGGCCAGCTCGCGCAATCTAGCGAGATCCCGACTCAAAATTAAACGGGCTGGGGATGCAGTGGGAGACAGAGCACTTGCGAATCAAAGGAGATGACAGGCTCCTAGTTATACCTTCCTCTGGGCTCTCAGCCACCTGCAGGGGGCTCACACCCTCCCCTGTCACCAGCGGGGGCAGGCTGGCTGGGACTTACCTTGGGCGGGTCGAAGAGCTCCAGCACGCGGTCGGGGCCGCCGTTGGGGCCCTCGGCGCGGCGCAGCGCCAGCCTCCCGCGCTGCCAACGTGCGCCACTG